GTCATATTTGTCCATGTGTTATGGGCCGAATTGTGTTGCCCCACAAATTCATATGTTGGAACTCTAATTTCTAGTTAGAAATTAGAACATGGCTGCATTTGAAGATTGGGCCTTTAAATAGGAAATTAAATAAAAATGAAGCATTTAGGGTGGACCTTGATCTCATCTGACTTGTGCCGTAGAAAGAGACCATTTGGGCACTCAAAAGAGAGACCAGTGCTGCTTGCACACAGAGGAAAGACCATATGAAGACACAGCAAGATGGCAGCCGTCTGTAGGCCAAGGAGAGAGGATTCAGGAGAATGCATTCTGCTGATATCTCAGTATTGGACTTCCAGCATGCAGAACCATGAAAAAATACATTTCTGTTGTCTAATATTTTATTGTGGCAGCCTTGGCAAATTAATACAATACGCATATGAAAAAATAGCAAATTGAGACTCCTAGGTGGCTCAGTCATTTAAGAGTCTGTCTGCCTTCGGCTCATGTCATGATCCCAGTGTCCGGGAATCAGGGCCCGCATCAGGTTCCCTGCTTGGCGGGGAGCCTGCTTCTCTTTCTCCTCCCCACTTGTGCTCTCACTATCTCTGTCTCTCTCTCTCAAATAAATAAATACAATCTTAAAAAAAGAGAAAGAAATAGCAAATTGCCCCAGTGTAGGCAAAATGTCTAATGCTACATGTCATAGCTGTTAGGAACATGCCTCATGAAATGTTCCAAAAACTACATGTATTATTTCATTTAATCCTCAAAATAGTGATAATGGATTAAGTGCTATCTTAATGTCCGTCTTACAAGGAGGAAACTAAGTTACAGAAGTTTTTAATAACCTAAGCCCACACAGCCCAAAACTGGAGTCTAAGCTCATGACCACTATGCTCCAAGAGAAACAGCAAAATTAAAAATAAATAAGTACACATTCAGTTTTATGGGCATGTCGTACAAATTGTACCTCCTTATTCATTAAAGAGCATGACACTCCACAGCCTTTGTTAAGAAAGAAGGAAAAGCCATATAGACTTTAAACCTAATTTGGGCATACGTGAGTCCATACTATCAGATCTATTTTTACAAGAACTTTTCAATGCTCATTTTCATGAGGAATGTAGATGACACACACAGTTTTTAGAAAACTAAGAGTTGTTTTTAGTGTAGCCTAGACTATAATTTTAGAGTCCCTTAGCACTATCTGTTCCACGTACCCATTGATTAATTCCATGAGCACAAACACAAAGCAGATACAACTCAGAAGGAAATAAAAGCTGACTACCTTGTCTGACCCGTAGTTAAAATGCTCATATTTTCAACTTGAAAAATTGTATTTCCTTTTGCTAAAGTAATTTGGCGTAAGGATTTGAATAGATCAAATATCTGAATTATATATATATATATTTTAAGATTTTCTTTATTTATTTTGACAGAGAGAGATACAGCAAGAGAGGGAACTCAAACAGGGGGAGTGGAGAGGGAGAAGCAGGCTTCCCGCTGAGCAAGGAGCCCGATGCGGGGCTCGATCCCTGGACCCTGGGATCATGACCTGAGCCGAAGGCAGACACTTAACCGACTGAGCCATCCAGGCGCCCCGATCTGAATTATATATTATCTTAACAGAAACTTGGCTTGATAATTTAAATTACTGTTAATCAAATATTGATATGGAGAGTCCCTAATGAATATAAAATAAGAAACTGATACAAAACAGATATAAAATAAGAAATTGATACAATATTGAACATCAGGTACTTATAAATAAATGTATCTAAAAAGATTAAAATAGCATGGTTAGTAATGAAAAAACTTATTACCAGGTGCCAGTCACTGCCCTAGATTTCAGATAGAGCAGTAAAAGGCAAAAACCCTTTTTTGTATTTTTCATAAATGAGAAAAATACCTACTAAAATTTATTTAATATAATTACTTTTTGTTGAAATGCTCTTTTGTTTTTGATGGAAAAAAAGGAAACTTTACCTGATGATCCTATAAACATAATAATAAATTCTAATATTTAATTCGGCTAACACAGTATTTTCATTAGCTTACTTATTCAATCTTATCCTTTATGTGTCCTAAAATCTAGAAGGATTGTACTTTAAATGTTTTCTCCTGTTGTAAGAGCAGTATATAACAACTGTGGAAAATTTTAATAAAACAAATACTAGCACTTGTATTCCCTTCACTTTTATGGATCAGTACTACTCAGATATTGATTTGATATACTGCATTTTAGTTTGGTATTTGTATATATGTGTTTGTGCCCTGAAAATTTGATTCATGTGTTCATTTATTATTTAGTTTAACAAATATGGATTGCACAACTATTCTGTACCAGAGCAACAGAATATAGGAGCGACGACTATGTATTCTAAGGTAGAGAAATCCATGGATGGATATAAAGACCGGGAATTGGATTTGGACATGTTGAGTTTGAGATGTGCATTAAACCCTCAAATGGAAAAGTTGAGCATGGGGTTGGGTCCAGAAGAAAAGTCTGGTCTGGATATGGACCATCTGGGAGTAGAAGTTATTTAAACCCAGAAGGCCATAGAAAGCAGCAAAGATGTAGAGTGTGGGGAGAGAAGAGAAGATGCCAAGGACTGAGCACTGAAGTTCTTCAGTATTAAAAGGGTGAGAAGAAGAGAATGAACCAGCAAATGCCATAGAGAAGGAGGAACCAGGAACCAGTGAGAGAAGAGGAAAAACAAGCTTATCTATCGAAATAGGGGAGAGTTGCAACTCTGTTAAATTGTGCTGTTAGATCCAGTGTGATAATAAATAGGAACTGACTGTTGGACTTACAATGAGGAGGGCATCAGTGACTTCAATGAAAGCTGTTTCCATGAAGCATGAGGGAAGAAAACCAGGCAGAGTGGAGTGAAGGGAGAGTGGGACAAGAAGAATTAGTGTGTGGGTCACTCTTTCTTGAATTTTGCTGAAAGGATACCAAAAAAAAAAAAAAAAAAAAAAGTCGAGTGGTGTTTTAGAAAGAGATGGAAAGTGGGGCCGAAATAAGGTATCAATTCTTCTTTTAAAAAATAATATCTGGTTTGAATGCTAATTAAAGGCATTTAAGGGGGAGCAAAAATCTGGTGGTGTAAGCAAGGTGGGAGAACTGTGATGCCCAGGAGTAAGAAAGGGAATGGGAGTGCTTTCCTCAGACACGGGAGAGGGTGAGCTCCAGGAGTAGGCAGGAGGGAGGATGGGAGGGCAGGTAAAGATAGATAGGTAGTCCCCATGGTCTGAAATGATGCCTTTTGATGACTCAGTGAATGGACTAGAGATGTGAGAGGGTAGACATGAATGGTCAAGGATAATTTCATGAATTAAAGTGAAAACAATCAGGGTGGTATGTTCCCCACTCATGTTCAGCTGATCAGATGCTGATTTGGATTTAGATGGTATTGACTGGGTCATGGCGTGGCCAAGAAAGCAAAATAAAGATTTTCATCAAGTTTTTCTCATTTCATATTAACTGATGAGTTTCTTTCCTGTGTTATTGAATATCCTTTAAACATGATTTTAATGCTTGTAAATAAATACATACAATCATATATTGAAATCTTTCCCTATTTTTAAATTTGTTTGTTCTTTCAATAATTATAGAATTTGAGAGTCAAAATCTAGAACCAATTGCAAGAAGAAAGGTGTCTGAAAAAACATAAGAAATTGCAAAGGGATTCCAAAGGAATAAACTGTTTTAGTAAAGATCTATTGCTGGATAACAGTTCACTCCCAAAATTCAGCAGCTTCAAAAACAAGAGCTATTTATTTGTTCCCATTTATGCAATTTAAGTATTACATGGTGGGAATAGATTGTTTCTCCTTCAAAATGTATCAGCTAAAGCAACTTGACTAGAAAAATTACTTCCAATGTGGAGGTCACTCACATGACTATTGCTGCTGGCTGGCCTTAGGCGCAGATTGGCGATATTTGAAAGATTATAACGGATCTTAGAAATCAATATTTCATGATGGATATGAATTTAGATTAGATTGGAAGAGTTTTCATTTATTCCATTATTTTCCAAATATCTTTTCAAAACGAAATCTACTTAAAAAAATAATTTTGCCTCAGTTTTTTGGAATCGCTTTTCTACCTCTTGGAGGCATACATTGTTGTTCTTTTTAGGGACTATTAACTACTTAAATTCTTTTCATTCTCTATTTATAATTGTTAAAATATGTGAAACTGTGTTTGTGCCTCTGATATAGTTTTGGACACATGTGTTTTACAATGATGTTGGTTGCCAAATAATCAGCCATCGTAATTTGTTTTCTGTTTTATACAATACTTTTTTAGCCCAGATTTGCTGTGCTTTGTTCATTTTCTGTGTTTATTTTTGACCTGAGTGTTTTTTTTTCAGATTCCTAATTTTGTTGATTTAACTAAAGAACGGGAACTCAAATTTCTTCTTTGAGAAATACATTGAGGTTTTCTTTGTAACATGATCTAAATTCATTCTTTTTGGAGAATTTTTCATGAACTCTTACCATAAAGTCATATTCTCAGTTTTGGTAGCATGGTTCAATGTTTCCCCTTTAATGTAGCCTAATGATTAGTCACTCAAATATTTTATTTTATTCTAAGTATATTATACCAGTTATTTGACTGACTAAAGTTTTTAGTATGTAACAAAATTATTGCACCAGATTCATGGCTGAAACCATTTTACAGCATCGTCTCTTTTATAAAAATACAGGATTTCCATTCACATTAATAGTCTACCACTATACAACAATTGCATTTGCCAAAACACAATATAAATAATCCATTCATTGTCAAGCCAGACAAATAACTTAAAAGGCTATTCTATTATTTCATTATTATTATGATATAGACTATTAGCCTCTTACATCTAGAATCATTCTGTTCCCTAATCCTAAATTATATATTGTTTCTGGGTGTCCAAAGTCACATATCTGAATTTTATTTATCTTCTCCAATACTTAAAAATACTTTAAAAATATTTTTCAAATGTATTAAGGCCTGAAAAGACAGTTACCATTTTATTCACAGGATGCTTCTTCCTACAGTCGTAGTGTCTCAAGTTTAACAGTACAGTAAGTCTCTTGCGATAAAGTTTATCTTAAATATTCATGTTTTTATGACTTTATCAATTGTACTAATCATTTCATCCACCTGAATATAAAGCAGAGAAATAAGTATATTAGTCACATGGTTGATAGCATTGCAGTCTAAGGGTATTTACTGAAATCCCATATCCCTTCTTTTGCTATAATTTTGCAAAATAGATCTCAGCATTTATTTGTACACTGTTATTGTAATTTTATTGAAAAGTATTATTTAGTTCAGTTAATATTTTAAAACAGCAACCATTAATTAATAATGTTTTCTAGAGTTATTATTGATAAGTTAAAACCTTTCAATGACATATCTGTATGTAACATCACAAAAGCCACAACTACTTGACTTTCATCATTTACATACTAAGGAAATGACTCTTACAATATTTCTATGGAACAGAAAAATATTTTCTTTGTGACCTGCTTAACATAGATATTTGTCTGTCTTCTTGGTTTGGAATTACACTTGTCATAACATGAGCAAATTCTGTGTGAATTAAATGCTTCCTAGGTGATATAAATATATTTTTGCAGTCAGAGTTGACTAATAGCTAATTATTTTTATAGACAAGCCTCTGTGGTAGAATTTGTGAGATTTATATGTATATTTTAATGCCATTTCAACAAATGTATCTCCATACCCAGAGAATAAGTCTAGATTATGGAAATGGTCTGCTGGAGTTCCAGAACTATTTGACAAGCTACTCTTTTTTTTCTATAAAACATGTTTATATTTTAAGTTTACTATTATTCTACTTTTTGTAGCTTTATTTTTTCTTTTCTTGTTCTAAATATAATTTTTATCTTCAGTCTTGAACAGCATAGTTTTCTCCCTGAAATGTAACAAAGGACTATATCAGAGAGTGAATCACTTTTATTGCCAGCTATAGGAAAATAATAATGCACAACACTTAATTTCCCCAGGTAAAGAAATCTTATAGGAAAGATAAATTTTATTACAGCATCTATCCTAGAATGTACAAATGGACTTTGTTAATATTATTACTGCTGGGTTTGCCTGTTTTTAAAGACGCAACATCCATATGGGAAATTTGGATGTTACCCCTATAATCATTTCAATATGTATATATTAAATACACACACACACACAAACACATATCTTGCAGAAGATCTCACACATTCTCTCTCTCACACACACAAGTAATATCTCAGTAATTGAAAACTTAACCTAAATATATGTCAGCATGTAGAGTGTTATGAACTAGATCAATGATAGCAGATCTCTTGACTAGAATCCTGTGTTCTCAATTTACTGCCTACGTTTTTGCAAGCTACTAAATCTTTCCAAGTTTTGAAATTCTTATCTGTTAAATGAGATTTTTTACCCAGGACCACAGTGAAGATTTAGGGAGATAACATATCTAAAGGGTGATGTATTCCTGGTACATGGTAAGCACTTGTTATATGTTAACTATTACTTTTATTGTATTTATTTTCATATCAATATAATTCCGAATGGAAGATAAGTATATGCAGACAACTATGTGTGTCATTGTAAAAAAAATTACTACAGTTTAGAGCAATATGTGATGAATAATATATAGTGGATGCCACAAGGAAATTTGAATAAGATCTAGATATTTCAAGAAGAGGAGATCATTTTTAATTGATGCTTTCAGGAACTACTCCATGAATGAATAGTCACTGACACAGATCTGCAAGTTTATTTTATTAAAATAAACTATATGGGTAATTGATTGGATGACACAGGCGTACTTTCAATAATACTAGAATTAATATGTATTTTTGAATCAAAATGGATTTAATTCAATATATATGGTTTATAATTTAATTCTCTATTATATTTGAACCCTTCAGGTGTGTTCAAAAAACAAAGCAAAGCACAATTGTTTTTAAGAGTCACAGGTTAAAAAGTACGTGAAATACTTTTTAGAAAACATTTCAATTGGTTGCTGCACAGATAATAACCTTCAGCATGTGGTCATGAATTAAATGCAAAATAACATCAGGAGCCCTGCTTCAAGAAATAATTAGGCCTTCTGCAGAGTCATTCAGTAAAATTACATTATTGTGTTCAACTGAGAGGAGCTGTGTAGAATTGTATTTGTAAAATATAATTGCAGAGACAGCTGGCCCGAAAAAGGAAGAATCTTAATAATATATTTTGCTGAGGTGGTTGGTTGTTTACTCCCCATTATGAGAGTGGTTGATAAGAAGAACAGTCATTGTTGCATAGGAGAGAGAAATTAATTCAGGAAAATAATGATGTAGCTTCTCATGCAGTTTAACTGAATTTTAAAGTGAAATGTATTGTTAGCCATGCAAGCAACATGCTTTGAGGATTTGTTCTCCTTGCTCTTACTCCCGAAGCTTCAAATCTTCTATGTGGCCTTTCTCAGTTGGCTTCCTCTATTATTTTCTTAACTTCCCCCTTGTAATGTAAACATGGGAAACAGAAAGTGGTAGAAGAACAAAGGATAGGCATACAAAATAGCTCCACTCTCTTTGCAGAAAGATTTAATAGGGAAATGGTACCACACTGAGATTTTATGAAAAGATTGATAATAGTGTGTTCATTTAAACCGAATGGGGAGCCACTGTATGTTTTGCCATTTTAAAGTTAATTTCACTTTTTACTTAAAGGCCTTCTAGATTTTTTTCCACCCTTTGTCAAACAGGACAATTAATTTTATCAACATGACCTTTCAATGCCATTGTAAACTCTCATGTACTAAAATAAATGTCTTGACACCCTCGTGAACATGAATTATACAGATAATCACATGAAATACTGGGGACAGTATTTCATATACAATTTACTGTCATGTAAATTAAACACAAATCAAGGGAAGACAAAGAAAAATGGTAAGTCGATTAACTCCAGGGAGAACTGTAAGTTTTAATAGGATACATAATAGTAAGCTAATCTTTAAATAGCTTTGGCTATATAAATGAATATCAAGTAACTATAGGTCCCTAAAAATAAAGGCATTATTGAATGTATGTTAACCATTTCTTAAAAAATAAAAATTTCTATCTTTAGACAAGGTCAGACTACCTTTCTCTCTAAAAATATTGGGGCAACTTGTATTTTTACTTATTAAAACCAAGTTTATAATTTTCAGGTAAGAAGACAAAGTTTTACTTCTATAGCAAATATTTGTTGAGGCTAAAATGTGCCAGTCACTTCTATGCAGGAAACAAAATAGAGTACACTCAGGGAAGTGATATGCGATGTGTCAGTTGTGATAGGTGTAATGAGGCAAAAATAAGCAGAGTAAGGAGATCAATGACAGATGCACAAATAGGTTGGTTAGGGAAGGCCCCTCCAAGGAGGTGAAATTTAAGCAGGGTTCCATCTTTTATTTTTTGTTTTTCTTTTTGTTTTTAGAATTCTTTAATATATTTATTCTGAATTTAAGGAGACAAAATTGTAAGATCTATATGCAAGAATTCTGTTCTATTTATCACAGGAAACCAAATAAGTTCCCTCAACTACATACAGTTGTTATTGACAAAGATGTTTTCATTGGCTTCACTCAAATAAAAAATATGATTTAAATAAAGCACTGGGTTGGGGGTGCCTGGGTGGCTCTAGTCCCTTAAGCAGCTGCCTTTGGCTCAGGTCATGATCTTGGGGTCCTGGGATCGAGTCCCGCATCAGGCTCCTTGCTCAGGGGGGAGTCTGTTTCTCCCTCTTCCTCTGCTCCTCTCTCCCCTCCCCCTCCCAGTGCTTTCTCTCACTCACTCTCTCTCTCAAATAAATAAATAAACTCCTTTTTAAAAAAATAAAAATAAAGCACTGGAAGATATGTAGAACCCATCTTTAGATGTATTTCATGATCTTTTGGGTTAATAATTCAGGCAGAGCTCAGCTGGGCTCTTCTGTTCCATGTGGTTTTGGCAAAAGCCACGCTGGTATTCAGTGGCAGGGCTGGTCTGGAAGGTCCAAGGTGGTTTCATTCATACAACTGGGGCTTTAGTGGGGATGACTGAAGGCTGAGCTTGGTCAGGGGCTGTCAAGGAGGATGCCGAACATGTCTGTCAGCACAGCAGTCTCAGGTAATCAGAACTCTTATGTGGTGGCTCAGGGCTGCCTGAGAGAGTGTTCCAAGAAACAGGAAGTAGATGCTCCTAGCCTCTCAAGGTCCAGACCCAGCCCTGTCCACAGGGTTACTGTGGCTGCATGTTATTGCCCAAAGCAGTCACAGCCCTCACCCAGATTCTCCACTTCTTCATGGGGGTAGCGTTAGAGTGTGCAGCTGTCTTGAATCTGCCCACTATCCATTAAAAAAATTACAAAATTTACTCAAATACAATGACCAAAAGCAAATTCACCTAAAGTGTTTGGATCATTCTATAGGATTTGCTGCGTGTGTGTGTGTGTGTGTGTGTGTGTGTAGTATTTGGATCAAACCTAAAATGATGTAGCTATCCTGAGAACATGGCATTTTCCCATTGGGTATTCTGGAACTCATACATAAAAATCCAGTCAATAATGTTTATTATTTACTCACATATTGAAAGTGGTAACATGAATCTGTGAAATGCAGCAAAAGCTAATGCACTATGGCTATTTTTCTTACAGAAAAAGTTTCATAGTCTATTTTCATCTCAATGTTGACTTTATCCTGTTAATTCTTATATAATGATGTCCTTTATTTTTAATATCCCACTGAAAATAATAATAATAAAATAAAGATATCTATACAATGTCAAAATTATGATGTCCCTATTTAACTTGAAGGCTGCATTGTATTTGCTCCAGAGTAAACTTGCAAACCGTTCTTTTGGTCGCTCTGAGCTGTGAGTCTAATCACTGTGGTCTTTGCTTCTGAGGTCTTGTTGGGCAGATAACTCTTAAATTCCAAGCAAATCACCCAACCAGTTTTACCTACATACAGTAGCAATAAAATTATCCTAATTCTCTAATAATGGTACATTTTTTTTTATTCTCTTTCATCCACTAGGTCTACTTTAATAGACACATAAGATCATTTAGAATATCTGCTATAGTCATAGAAATCCTTAATTTGGGGAACCTTGAAGAACTTATAATTGGGATCTAATGGT